ATGGCTTTTATCAGATTGAAGTAGAGGCCTTCTATTCCTATTTTCTTTAGGACTTTGAGCATGAATGAGTGTTGGACTTTGTCAAAAGCCTTTTCTGCATCAATTGAGATAATCATGTGGTTTTTCGTTTTCACTCTATTGATATAGTGTATTACATTTATAGATTTCCGAATATTGAACCATCCTTGCATTCCTGGAATGAATCCTACCTGGTCATGGTGTATGATCTTCTTGATGATTTGCGGCATTCTGTTTGCTAGGATTTTATTGAGGATTTTTGCATCTATGCCCATGAGGGAGATTGGCCTGCAGTTCTCTTTCTTAGTTGCATCTTTCCCTGGTTTTGGTATCAGAATAATACTTGCCTCCTGGAAGATTTGGGAGAACTCTTTCCTTTTCAATTTCGTTGAAGAGTTTGAGGAGTGTAAGGATTATATCTTCTGTGAATTTCTTGTAAAATTCAACTGTGAATCCATCTGGACCTGGAGTTTTCTTTGTCGGCAGGCTCTTTATTACATTTTGTATTTCATTGGCTGTTATGGGGTTATTGAGAGTTGTTATATCTTCTTGATTCAGTTTTGCTAATTTGTACCTTTCTAGGAAACTGTCCATTTCATCTGTGTCTTCTATTCTGTGAGAGTAAAAATTCTCAAAGTAGCTATTGATAATCTGAATTTCCACTGGTCTGTAGTAGTTACACACTTTTCATTCCTTATTGCTTGTATTTGAATTTTTTCTTTCCTCTTTTTGGTGAGGTTAGGTAGGAGCTCTTCAATTTTGTTTAATCTTTCAAAGAACCAGCGTTTTGATTCATTAATTCTTTGAACTGTTTTATTCATCTCAATGGAATTAATTTCTGCTCTAATCTTTATGATTTCTTCCCATCTTTGGGCTCTTGTTTTGATTTGCTCTTCCTTTTCTAGATGTTGGAGGTGCAGCATTGGGGTGTTTATTTGTTCCCATTCTGTTTTCCTAATGTGTGAGTTCACAGCTATGAACTTCCCACTGAGAAATGCTTTCATCGCATCCCATAAATTCAGATAAGTTGTGGATGAATTTTCATTGAATTGTAGATATTGTTGAATTTCTTGTTTAACTTCATCTGTAACCCTTTGACTGCTGAGTAGGGTGTTGTTTAATGTATTTAGGTTTTTTTTCTGTTTTCTTTTGTCATTTATTTCCAGTTTCATTGCACTGTGGTCAGATAATATGCATGGAATAATTTCTATTTTCTTGCACATACTTAAGCATGACTTATGTAATAGTATGTGGTCTATTTTAGAAAATGACCCATGTGTAACTGAAAAAAAATGTGTATTCCACTGTGGTTGGGTGGAATACTCTGTGTCTACCAAGCCTATTTGTTCCAAGTTCTGGTTCAGTTGTGCTACTTCTTTGGTAATTTTTTGTCTGATCGATTTGTCTTTTTGGGATAAGGGGGTGTTAAGGTCTCCTGTTAAGATTGTTGTGTTGGATATTAGATTTTTCATGTCTATTAAGGTTTGTCTTATAAATTTGGATGCTCCTGTCCTTGATGCATACATATTTATGATTGTTATTTCTTCCTCTTGAATTTTTCCCCTAACTAGTATATAGTGGCCTCCTTTATTTCATTTGATCATTCTTGGTTTAAAGTTGAGACTGTCCGAGAACAAGATTGGTACCCCTGCTTTTTTCTGAAGTGCTAGGGCATGTAGTATTGTTTTCCATCCTTTGACTTTCAGCCTATGAGTTTTTTTGAGTTAAGTGTGTTTCTTGTATACAACATGTTGTTGGGTTTTGTTTCTTAATCCACTGTTCCAATCTATTTCTCTTAATTGGTGAATTGAGTCCATTTACATTGATGCTTATAATTGAAATGTGTTGACTTACGATTGACATGTTTTTAAATACTGTTTTTAACTCTTTTTTCTCCTGTGTTTGTTTGTCCTATTTAGTGGGTATCTTCTGTTCTCGTTGGTGGAGTTCTGATCATTATGGTCCCTCTCTAGAGCATCTTTCAGTAGTCTGTGTAGGGTTGGCTTTGCCATCATGAAATTCTTTAGTTGTTCTTTGTCATGAAAGTATTTCACTTCCCCATCGAACTTGAAAGAGAGATTTGCAGGGTATAGTAGTCTGGGTTGGAATTTGTTTTCATAGAGGACCTGAAGTACTCTGCTCCATACTCTTCTTGCCTTCATGGTTTGTGAAGTAAAGTCGGCCATAATTCTGATGGGTTTTCCTTTGAATGTGATCTGCTTCTTTTCTCTAGCAGCTTTCACGATGATATTCTTGTGTTGGATTTCAGGGATCTTGACTAGTATATGTCTTGGTATGTTTTTTATTAGGTTGAAGTTATTTGGAGTTCTATATGCTTCGGTTACTGAATATCAGATTGTTTCCTTATATTTGGGAAGTTTTCTGCTATTACTTCTGCCCATATTCTTCTTATATCATTTGTATTGAGTCCTTCTTTCTCATTGATGCCTATTAGTCTCACATTGTTCATCTTTGCATCGCCTTGCAGGTGACAAATTATTTTTTCCTTTATCCTAGCTGTTTTTAAAACATCTTTTCTTACCTTTTCACTAGCTGCACCAGCATCTTCAAGATCTGTAACTCTATCTTCACTGTCACTCAAACAGTTTTGCAGGCTTGTGATTGAGATTTTAAGTTCCTCTACATCTCTTTGACTCTGCTTCATGCGATCTATTTCTTTCCTGTATTGCTCATTCAATGAATCCATCATTTTTTAATCTCCTGTATTTTTTTATCAATATCTTCTTTAGAAGCAGTTATTAATTCTTTTACTGAAGAGTTTTTTACAGATTTAGTTTCTTCTATATATTTCTGCATTTGATTCTTTAGTTCAGATGATATGAATTCAGAGATTTCTTTTTTCATTTCAGACTCTAATTCTGCTTTGAGTTCCTTTAAACCTTTCGGCAGTTGCTTATTTACTTCCAACGCTACTAATTCATATAGTTCAGCTAAGCTAGTGTCCACTGCATTTGTTCTGGGTTGGCATTGTGTTTCCTCCATATGTTACTGCATTTGATTCTTAAGTTCTGATGCTATGAATTCAAAGTTTTCTTTTTTTTTGTTCTAGAAATTAATTCTGCTCTGAGTTCCTCTATATCTTTCTGCTGTTGTTTGTTTACTTCTGATGCTATTGATACATTTATTTCAGTTGAGCTAGTGTCCTCTGCACTTGTTATAGGTGGGCTCAAGGCCTGAGATTGCATTTTACCCCTTGTCTTTATCATTTTGTATAGCACTGACCTCTGACCTTTGGTGTAGAGCTTTGGTGCAATTGTGTCCTTATCACTTAATGAAATTCGGGTACTCTTATACCAAGTTCTAGTTCATGCAGTTGTGCCTGGCTTGGGTCTGGCTACTGTGCTCAGCTCCTTATTATTGCCCTTGGAGGTGGGCCTGCTGTATCCTTCTGGTAAGGTGGTCTGTTCCTGGATTAGTGTGTGGCTTTGACCCTAGTCTCACTGCAGGAACTTTAGCTGCAGGGTTTTACCCCAAGCCTGTATGCCAGGTCTTGGGTGGATCTGGAGAGGTATAAGGAGCAGGGGCAAGAGAGCACAGAAGCTCTCCCACACACTCACTGGGGCTGTGCTTTGGGGGTCTGCAGGATTCCCAAGAACAAGGCGGAAGTTCTCACAGGATGGGCTGTGCTGGGTATGGCCAGGCGGGGAGGTCCGGAGAATGCCAGGAAAGGCCTTTCTCAAGCAACAGGCCTGGACTTGGAATGGCAGGCAGGCGCAGGACAGGGCAGCAGCTCTCCCACACACTCACAGGGCCTGGAGTTGGTTGGATGTTTTTCAATTTTTGTATTTTTTTTTAATAGCTATTTCGTTCATTTCTTCCTTCGTCACGTTTCCTTTGTTTTGTCCATATGTGCTTTTCTTTTTCTTGCATCTTAATGTAGAAACTTCAATACATCAATTTGAGGTTCCTTCTTCCCCTTATAGTAAACTGCCTTGGCCACACCTTACACATTTTGACATACTGTGCTCCTATTTTCATCCAGTCTAACATTTTTTATAATTTCCCATGTGATTTCTGTTTTACCTTAGGGGTAATTTTTAAGTAGATAGTTCAAATTCTAAGTACCTTTCATTTATTGATTTTTAATATAATTATACTTTTGTCTGAGAATGTACCTGTATGAGAAAGTCTTTTATATTTACTGAAACTTATTTTATGACCTATGTTATCTGTGTTCATGAACATTCCATGTATACACAAAGCTATATATTCTACAATTTTTCTGTAAGCATGAGTTATATCAAATGTGTTGATATCCTCTGTATATCATTTATATTTTATTGATTTTTCAGTTTAATTAGTGTAACTGTTAACAGAGGGGAGGTGTTAATTCCTAATCATGATTTTTTTGCCCATTTCTTCTTTCAGTTCTGTTAAATTTGCTTTATGTAATTTGAATTTGTTGTTAGGTTCATGATATAATTTTTAACATTTTCTTTGTGAGGAATTGTACTCTACTTTTTATGTTGCTTGTATTGGGGCAAGTTTTTATTATCATTTATAGTATAAATATTCTTTCATTATTACTATGAAACAAAAATTATTTCTTACTCTTTTTCACATTAGGCAAGTAATTTAAAGAAGATCCTCCAAGGAATTATGAGTTATTACCATGAGGTATGAAAAGTATCTAACTTCAAATACAAAATAATTATATTGATATTGAAAAGATGACTTGGCTTGGCTTTTTGACATGGGAGTGTAATTCATAATTGAACTAGTTTGTTATTGCCATTTTTAGAGCATACAAGTTCTGTGAAAATCAGATTTGACATTTAAATATTGAATTTTCAATAAAAGTTGCATTTATTTTGATACTCATTAAGTTCATTATTTCCTCAAATAAAATGTCTGTATTACTTAATGATTGGCAGTTTTTTAGTTGATTTTAAAAATTTGTATTTCTTTTTAATTTTGTGGACTTGTAGTTTACTTAAAAAATTACTACACTGTAATTTTTGAATTTAATTCCTAAAACTCATTTTGAAACTTTGCTCAAGGCCAAGAAACTTTTTAAAAAACTTAGAAAGAAAAAAAGAACAGGAAATATTAAGCCATTAGATGTGTTGTTCATTTGTAGAGTGCAGTAGTTTATTTTGCTTTTTTTGTTAATTGATTGTATATTAAAAATATCATTTGGTTTAACATATATTTTGTAGTAGTAGACCACATTGTGTGCTTTTTCAATTAAATGAATTCCTAACAATGGAATCCAATAAAAAGTAAATATAGTTGCATATAGTTGGTTACTAAAAATATTAAGAGATTGCTTGAATATTGCTGCTTTTAATTAGCCATTGATTTGTCATTTGTTAATTTAGCTTGCATTGTTTCATGTTCTCAATGTTTCTTTTAGTTTTGTTTTGTTTTGTTGTTTTGGAGACCTCACTGTGTAGCCCAGGCTGGTTTCAAACTGTTAGTGATCCTCCTGCCTCAGCCTCCTGAGTGCTGAGATTATAAACTTGTTACCATCATGCTCAACTTTGCTTCCTTTTTTGTTGTTGTTGTTGTATTTTAGTAAGGATCTACAGTGTTCACTAAGTAGATCAGACTCAGTGATCCACCTGTGTTCAGCCTCCCAAAAGCTGGGATTACAGGCACGTGCCACCACGCCCAGTCTCAATTGCAATCTTGGGGTACCCTGGGGGCAGGGCTGGCACTTCAGGCCTGAGGATTGAACCCTGACCCCTGTACCTGCTTGCAGGCACTTTAATCTGCTGAGCTATTTGGCCAGCCTTAATTTTTCTTTTAAAATTACATGTAAAAAGTTTTTTTGTAGTATGTATAAATAAGTGATTTAACTTTCTATTTTGATATTAAAGTTTTTGGGACAGCAGATTTCTGAAGAACTTATTCCTGATTTAAACCAAATAACTGAATGTTCAGACTCCACAGAGCTTGGAAGATTACTCCAGCTTATTTTAGGTTGTGCAGTCAACTGTGAAAAGAAGCAAGGTAAGTGAATTTCAACCAATTGAGATTTTTTCATTACTTTCTAGTGAAGAACCTACATTGTTATCACATATATTAGCATTTACAAAATCGTATCAAATTTACTATTACAGTGTGGCAGAATTCTGATACTCAATAAGTAAATTAAGTATATTTTATTCTAGTTTAATTTAATATGACCAGTGTTTAGAGCTTGGGGGACAGGGAGATAGCTCAGTAGAATAAGTGTTTGCCTGGCAAGCACAAG